AGGCTTTTGCCATTTATCTCTCGGGGAAAAAAGAAATTCATCATCCAGGGCTAAAAATGCAGAGAAAGCAGGAAATGAAATCATTTTCAGCACAATTTACGGCATAAGGAACAGCCCTGCTTAATCCCGTAGAGTAGCTTGGCTGCTGAATTTTTAAAACGGTCCAGAACAGCAGCTGAGGGAGGGCCACCAAGCCCCCCTCGCCAATTTTCACAAGCGACCTGCTCCCCCGGCCATCCGTTCACCCCTGCCGTCCGTCCTCCCCCCACCCCCATTAAAACAGCAGTGCCGGGGGGGCTCACCATTTCACCGGCTTCCCTCCCATGTTCCCGCTTTGGCTCTGGCCCAGAGCCCGTCTCCTGGCGAGCCTCGGTCTTCACATGCCACATCCCTCCACCAGCCTGGCCCTTCTGCGCCAGGGAGGTTGGCTGGGGCCAACCTGACGGAGAAACCTTTGCCAGGTTTCTTCGTGGGAACCGAGACGTGGCGGGCAGACGGAATGCAGCAGCCCCACTTCTTGAGAAGGAGCGGGTGGAAATCAGCGTGCCCCCGCCAGTGTGCCAGGGAGAGAGAAACCCAAAACGGGGCCGCTGCGTTGTTGTTTGTTTTGCACTGTTGCGTTGTGGGTCTGACGCATGCCCAAATTCGGTCTGGCAGCAAGAGAGCGGTCTTCTTCTCATCCCATCCTGGGCCAATCCCGTTCTCAGCCGCCGCGCAAAAGAGCCCAAATTCAGAGGTGGAATCTCTGGCTCAAGCACGGGTCGGGTGGCAATTAGCCAGCCCCGGGGGGCGTGAGGGCACACACCCGCAGGAACGCGTGTGCGTGTGCGGCTTTGGGCTTTGCTCTCCGCGGCTCTCCTTCCTGCTGTCACTGGGGCTGTGCAAGGCAGCGGCGCTTCTCGGAGATGTCTAAGCCCAGGGTGGGGAAGAGGGACGGCCGATGGGAGGGGGCAAGGGAGGGAGCTGCATGGGAAAAGCAGCAGGATTTGGCCAACGCTTCCGTGAGTCACGTCTGCTGCCTCCCCTTCCTTGAAACGCCAACACCAAGAAAACATTTAGGCGTCCGTGTGGAATAACAGGATGGGGAGATACGCGCCGCGTGCGCCGTGTTCTTGAGGTGCAAAGGGTCTGCTCTGCACCCACCTCCCCGTCCGGGGCGGGCCCAGAGAATCAAAGCCCCTGCGCGGATGCAAAACAGATGGAGCACTTCTCCATTTCAGACACGCCCTTTCCAGCCACTTATTTGCCAGAGTTGGGTTATTTTCTCCTGGGGGAGGAGAAAGACACATCCATTTGGGAAGCAGGAAGTGCAGACGGCCTCTTTCTGCACAGACAGACAGACCTGTGGTATCATAAACAGCAACCCACACTGAATCCGAGTGCAACGTCATTTGAAAAGCTGGCATCTCGATGCAAAGCGGCATCAGGTGCTGGAATGGACTCTGCAGAAACTGCCCCCCCCCCGCCCTGCAAGCTTCTCCTTCCGTTAGTCCTTGCTGTGAGGCTGCACCCAAGGTTTCTTCAAGCCCAGCAGGCTCGAAGTCCCAATGAGATGCCCCGTCCACGTTTTACAGCTGGGTAAAGCAAGGCTGGAGAGAAATGAAATAACCTGCGTCTGCAGCTACGCTCCGTTCCTCATTCCCCACTGGCAACTGCCAGCACTGGTCATTCCTAAGACCTCCCCCACCCCCACAAAAAAAGAGGGGTGGCTGGGCCAGACCAGCAGAAATGCCACGCTGCCCATCAAGGCAAAAGGAGGTCTGGGACATCCGAGCAAAAAGAAAGACAGCCGTAAGAAATGTTCATCTTGCCATCCAAATGATTTTTATGACGACTGATATTGTGAGCTAATGGTGGCCCACATCTCTACCTGCCAAGAGAATTGGCTGAGCCTTTAAAAAAGATCACTGGGGGGGGGGGGAGGGCAAGACCACAACTTTGGGAAAAGTGACATCCCAAGTGCCTCTCCCAACTCTTTAACTGATGAGAGATATCTCCCATTCTAGAGATACCACGTTAAAATCTAATTACGTGGCATGTACAATTCCAGGGAGGAGGAGACGAAGGAGGAGGAGGGGGGAAGAAGAAGAGGAATTATTATTGTTTATATGCCACCAACACTGGGTGGTTTAATTAACAAGGTCTTTACTCCAGTTTGACACAATCTCCAACCTACTTCCTAATGGGCCATCAGCCTTTCCACCTGCTCCTCAACCCTGGAAGATCAGGAAAACTCTAGGAAATTTGCAGTTGGGATCAAACCTGTCAATCCTGAGCAAAGTGCTTGAGAGGAAGACTCCACAAAGCTCCCCCAAATCCTGGGGAACCTCAGACCATCTGAGATTGTAAGTCACCACTAGTTTCCTCTTGACCCAGAGTTTCTCCCTGTTTGTGTAGCCAAGACAAGTCACTACACAACATGAAAAAAACGATGTGTTCCTCTTCTCCCACTGCTGCTCCAGGGCCAAGGCACAGAGTGGGTTGAAGCCAGTAGGTAGGAGATTCCTGAATGGTGGAATAGCTACAACGAAAGAGTCAAGGGAAAGTATTGGTGGAGATGTTGGTCTAGATCTGGGAAGACGAAGGCTCAAATTCCCTCTTGATCCCTGGATTATGTTGGGCCAACTATTCTTGCTACCTCAAAGAGTCGTTATTAGGAGTAAAAAAATGGATGAGGGAAAACCATCAGGGTTGTTTTAAGTTCCTGGAGAAAAGGCAGATTATAAATCTAACAAAGAAATACATAAATTGCAGGTATGTTGTCAACGCATTTACTTATGCTGCATAGGAACCTTAAGGGCAGAGGCAGATTAACCCTGAACAGGGAAAGCTGGGAACGATGGATTACAGGAGATGCATTGTGCTTAGGAGACCTTCCAGGCCACCCTGAGAGTTACACTGAGCTCATAAAGCCATCCTTATGGAACTCCTCGTTCACAGTCCCCAAACACACAATCAAGGCAAGAGTTCAACAGCGCACAAACAGGGTATCATCTCTGTTACGCAAAGGATTAAGAAATGCGATTCATGTCACATTCTGGGAAAAACAGAAACACACCAAAACAGCTCTGGGGGACAGGGAAACCCACCATCTCCTTTGCAAAGTACCCAAGACACCAGAAACGCTACATTGCTGGCTACTGAGATTCTCCCTCGCTGTTTACCAATGCTCTGGCAGGGTTTAGGGTAGAAAAAGAGGAGCAGAAGAGTTGCCAATTAGAACAGCAGAGGGAACAGTGGGGGGGGAAATTGTAATTATCCAACCGGGATTGGAGCCAGGGCTCTGGACCACTCCCTTTAATTCCCGTGAAATGCACCATGCCATTTTTAATGAGCTCCTGTGCCCAGACACCATCTCTGCCCCCTCGGAAGGGTATATCTGTCAACACAGGCTCTCGTTAGCCCAGGGATGCTAAATCAAAGTCCTGGGGCAAAACACAAGTATTTTGGCAAATCATTCCCACACCACTGGGTGAAAAGTATCTTCCTGGGCTTCTGCAGTAACCAACACGCTCTATTTCCTGCCTCTCCATGATCTGAGAAGCTGATATTGTTGGGCTATGCGAGAGAAGTTCTAGTTTTGCAGAGGTGTTAATCCACTTGATCTCCTGGAAGATTTTAAAGGATGCCTGTCTTAAAAGTGCACTCCATTTACAACTCCATCACCTCACCTTCTTTTGTCTTAGCATTAGGCAAGCAGCAAAGTCTCAAATTGTTCCTTTTTCCCTTGCCATGAGGAAGATGGACAGACCTAAGACCCATTTCTACTCTCCCAACCACAGGCCACATCTTGCTCTTTAAAACGGCTTAAAGAAACGTTGATGTACACTGATGGTGTTAACATGATCTAACTGGCTTTTGCAACATTACTGGCCCCATCTCTTTAACGACCTTAACTGACCCACCATCTTTCAGGATCAGTGGCCATGTCTATGTATCCCAAGCGAGGGGAAAAAGCAGGCACCTGAACATCTCCAGCGAGCGCAATGCAGTGCGGGAAAGGCTGCGACAGGACTGCTTGCAGGATACTGATCCCAAGGCTGCACCACATGCATGCACAAGCTAAGCTCTCTCTAACTGGCTCTCGTGCAATTCAGATGTGCCGCTGATCCATGAGATTTGCATAACAGCCATGCAGTCCTACCAGCCATTAAGAGAAACAAGACATTGTTTTTCCTGTCCAAAAGCACACCGAATGTCCTCCAGCCCTCTCGGCCGGGCCTTTGTAGCCAAAAGCCACAATTACACCCCACGACCACATCCTGCAATCTCCTGCGCCAGGGGTCTGTCTCTCTCTCCCACATCCCTGGCGCAACCCTCAATTACCATCCCAGTTCCGCTGAACCCACAGCCACAAAAGCAAGGCCATTCCTACGCAAAAGCAGTTTTTACTCACTGGCCCTAAGCCCCAATACCCCAAGGCAAGAGGCCTGCTTACAAAGTCTGTGGGGAGCTCTCATTTTTCTATCACGAAGGGATGATGAGAACTTTGGGGCTTCGAGGAAATTGAGCAGATCTGAGCGTTTAGCAGCCCGGGAAGGGCAAATTCACATGAGATGGAGATCAGGATGTGCCACAGTCTGAAGAAAGGCTACAGATGAGGACATCATGGCAGCGTGAACAATGGTTAAAGCCCCAGATGCTTTCCATGACAACAACAAAAACTCTTTTTCTCCCTTGCCTTTGCCTTTCTATCAAATGGGGTGCGTCAGAAAAGATGCTACCAGCCTCCTCCTGATTTTTCCCCCCACTTCATGATTCCCAGAGCAAAATAAGTCCCTTGTAGGAGCTCTTCTAAAAACCTGCTGGTGAATTGTATGCCCTCCCCAAAAAACGGGAATCCACATATCATGGAAACCCAGACCTGGCCTACAGAGAAAAGTGCCGAGAGACCAACACAGGATGCAAATTGGCAAACCGACTCAAGAGTAACAATCTGGGTTCAGAAGATATGACTGAATAAGGATTTCAACAAGGGCTTTAAAGCAACGGGCACCCCAACAAAGTAGCAGAGGTGAGTGACGGCGGGCGGGAATGATGAGAACACCAATCAGGGTCAAGAGCTTCCCCATGTTCTGGTACAGAAGCCAAGGAATTCTAGGAAAACTGCTGAATTCCAGCCAACAGAATCACAGGATCTCCCAGTTTAAAATCCCAGGGAACAGTCATTTGAACAAAGACCTTCTGTGCAGGTTCACAACTATCTCTAGAACCATCTGAGGAAACAAAGGGCATGAAGACACCAAAGTAGGGAATATGTGAGGCTGAAAGCTGAGGGGAATGAGGCGCGGAGAAACAGAAGTCTCCCAATGTGATTTGTGGAAAGATGTGCCTCTTTTGTTTCAGTAAACAAGTGACCTTTGTCAAACGTGTATTTATTTATTCACGAGAAAGGGAAGAACAGAAGCAGAGGTTCTAAAGATGCAACATGGTGATTCCATCTCGAGAGGCTGCAGCTCGCGGAGTGCACACAAGCCGCCTTGCTCATCTTCAGAAATTAGTTCAGGACCTCGAGGGTGATAAAGGAGTGAGCAAAGAAGGAGCCCATCTCTTACCTGGAGGAACAGGATTCTGAAGGGCCACTCTGCTGTCCCTCATACTGCTGGACGAGCGCGCGAACACTCCAGTGCGGTCGCTCAATCTCTCCTTCCAGGCTGCTGTTCCTAAAGAGAAGGATTGCACCGTGAAGAGGTGCAAGAAGAGTCAAAAAGGTCAATCGAAGATGACAACCATGCCCCGCTGCATTCTTTCCCTTGCATCCGGTGGTTTGTCTCAAAAGAGGAGTTTTTAAAATGTAGCGGTGCCTCCTCTGCAGTTAAACTACCTATGGACCAAAATTAGCAAATCCTTCAGGATCGTGGGGGTGATCATTACGACTGACTTCTTTCTGTTAACTGAGGAATTCTCCCCTCTACTAACTGAGGTGAATTCCCTCTCCTGCACAGGAGGGTCTCCTGCCCAGTCTAAAACAGGTGCTCTCCAGGAAAGTATCTGAGGAACCTAGCTCTCCAGACACTACACTTCCTAGAGGAACCAAAAACCCCTAGCTCACCAGGCTTCTGGTCCTCAGATATAATAAATACTGGCGAAACCCCACCAGGAAAGCCTACTGTTGCTGCAAGCCCAGGCAGAACACCTACCTCTGACGGTGCTGGAAGACATCACGACCCAGTCTGGAGACATCCTGGCGCACCTCTGCCAGGGCGGCCACCGCACCTTGGGCGACAGCCACAGCCGAGTAAGGCCTGTGACAGGCCGACAACGTTCCAGTTCCCCCAGAGTTCTTCTCTGTGGTGCTCGACAAAGTGATCTTGCTGGAGCCAGGCTTAAAATGAGCGGCTAAAGCAAGGATCAGCCTCATGATGCATTTCAGGTTCCCATCAACAATGTCTAGAAAATGAAACCATACCAAAATGGCAGTTACCTAGCCAAAGTCAGGAATCTGAAGCTGTCATTCAACTCACGAAGGGCAGCACAGAGGCACTACAGTATGTTCCCCCCCATGATGGAGCCACGCTAGGATACCTTCTCACCCTCTCGTTTATTCTTTAGTGCACAAAGACACACACCATCCTGTGTGTTGATACCAATCCATGCTTCCTTCTCCCTTGGCATCCAGTCAAGCCAAATGGCTCTGCAAAATTGGTCCCGTGCTATCAGGACACAGTAGAGTTGAATCAAATACTATTGGAGGAGTGCAGGAAACGAGGGAGCTTGGTCTACAGCTGGTATTTTTAGGTCAGCCCCATGTGCTTTGTAACATCTCTGTGCCCCCTATCAATGTTCGGTGAGCACAACCGAAGGAAGAGCCTGAAACGAAACTATGGGTTTCTACATACAGGGAAGACGTTTAACAACATGGCATCAGGCCCTCTCGATGGCTGCCAGGAATTTATGGGATACTGTTCTCATGCCAACCGGGACACAGTTGGATGCATGGGGAAAGTTGTTTATCTTAAGCACCTCTTTGCCCATTCACAGAGAACGCTGGGGTCGGCCATGAGCAAACCCACCTGCTTTTTGTCTTTCTGTTGCAACTTCCAGGCCCCTCTCTCCACCTGCCTTATCCAAAGCTGGGAGAAATATTCGCCTTGCACCTTGCTACACATCTGGTACGAGGCTATGCATTGGGACCTCGACCAAGGACATTCCAGGACTCATGGGACTTCTGTTAACCCTTCTGCACATGAGCTCATTAACTTCCAGCTCAGCTGCAGCACAGGAGGAAAGGGCCACTGGCCAAGTCTACAGCATTAATGTCTGAGCCACCACCCATAATTCTGTTCTCCTCCTAGCTCCTCAGCTCTCCTTGCTGAAATCAAGACACTTTAGGCCAGTGTTTCTCAACCTCAGCAAACTTTAAATATTGGGGGTGCTTCCTCCACCAAACATCCCCCCCCCCGTGGGGGCGTTT